TTTGTGTGGCACATTTGGGTGCAGCTTGTTTGGCGAATGTCAAAGCAAGCTTTACAAAAAGGCTGTTATTGAAAGATGGGGCAATTATATTAGACCTGACAGCAAATACACAAGCAATGTTGCTCCTTTCACATTCAAAAAGTCTAACCAATCATAGCGGACATCCAATATATTGTTTTAAAGGCGGAGTATCAAAAACAGCCAGTTTAATCCTATAAGGAAGAGAAAGGATGGAAAATATAATGTTATACTAAATTACAGCTGGTTTTGCAGCAAGAAAATTGACTAACATGAAAATAGACTACAGGTAGCCTACAGTACAGGAAAAAAAGGTACAGTACATTAAGTGTAAATGGCAACAAATAGCATCTTGTTTGCATTAAGAGCAAATGGAAGTAATGTGCTGTTTGTACGAAGGGTAAATTACCTGAGTAGTGGCAGTTAGAAAAAATAGCCTTTACCAAGGTTGGTGTAAATAGACACTGCCAAAGATAAATGATATCAGGTAGGATATGGCTTTTTAAAGCACAAACAGAAAATACATATGATGTTATGCAGAAATCAGAGCAAAGAGGTGATTGGAGGTCACTTTTATCCAACAGATAGCCTAATGCTGTACTTAAATGAGCCTTCCTGGATATTTGCTCTTGAAGATGAAGATTTGATTTCCTGTAAGAGTATTTGCAGAGATCAAATCTAATGAAAGACTGGACAGGGAAGTCACAACAGAGACTGATGGTGCCGAAAGACTCATAAAGCACTCTGTTACTGGCATTGAAATGGGGATTTGAAGGGATTTTGTTGTTATTCTGGGCATACAATATATTCATACCTGTGTGAAACGGTGTGTGTATGGCCCAATATGTGTGTGTGTTGGTGCAAAAGCCAGTTTGTGTGTGCTGGTGCGACTCTGTGGGAGCCTTCCTGCACTGAGTCACTTTATAGCTGACTCAGTGGTATATAGAGGAGGTGGAAAAGAGCCAGATACAGCACCACCCTTTGGTTCTTTGTGCACACACACAAACACTTCATCAGCCGAGGCAAAAAGCTTATTTAACTCGCAGTGGACACAGGAAGGGTGATGAAGGATGGAGAAAGAGATGGAGTAAATGAGCCTTGTTGATATCTCCAGGGTTTATTTTAAGAATATTCCAGATAATTCCAGAGCAAATGAGCTGGTCTTATGGTGTGTGAGGTTAATTGTGTTGCAGATTCCTGGATTTATGGTAATTTGGTTCAGTCTTGCTGTAAATTGCCTGTTAAAGTCATTAATATTCCTGATGAGAAGTAGACTCAGCTCTGCTCTGTAATAATGAAATTGTATTTACCGGTAGCTGTGGAGATAGGACTTCACACTTTATTAATGGGCACCTCTTCAGTTTATATTTTAACCAAGTTCCCAAAATACACTCAGATCTGGGTGACAGTTGGAGTTGTTTGCGCAAATGGGAAGAGGAGTGAGAGTGTGCGTGCCTGGGTTCTGTGCCAGCACACTTACAGTAATGGGTCTCGCTGACTGATTTGGTAATTATGTCCTGATATGTGTGGCTGCTTTATTTATGGTCACCATTATCAAGGACCTTGGTTCTCATTTATGTGCAAGATGGCTCTGACCTCAATCTCGTAGGTGTGGGTGCACATACTGACAGCAACCAATCACTCTCAGATTGATTGTGGTGAGTTCCTACTATGTTTGACCCCTTTAGTATGACTTTAGACTGGCTTTTGGCTTTGTACAGGTAGGTCATTTGAAATTAGCAAGTCTTGTGTCCAGTAAGCATGGGAGCTGATAGATTATACGGTAAGTCATCTACTCCGTATTACTATGTGATGGTGGGCTCACATATCTAAAGGGTCAATGACATATAAAAACATCCATGACAAAGAAAAGATGCTTTAATGTTGGATTCATATGGTTTTGGTAACATTTTCCAGAAAGGTTTCAATTTAATGACTCCAAAAAAGTCATATGATGCAACAAAATAAGAAATATTAGCACAATTTGCTTAAATGTGAATTTTTTATTTATAATTTTTTTTCAATCTGAAAAGTATTATCTATCTATCTATCTATCTATATTCTATATCTTCATCTATTTTTATATTTATGTAATGTCATAAATTATTATTTCATAAGTATAATAATACTAAGGTTTTGGAAAGCCACATCCGCATGGCATTTTACAACCTTGCCTTGTTATGAAAAGTTCAAATGATCTGATATTTTAAAGGTCCCATATTGTCAAAACTGAAATTTCCTGGCTTTTTTCATGATAACTGAGGTCTAGGTGCTATGTAACTACCATATAAGTTTCAAAACAGTCAGTCCACAGTAAAATTCACACAGCCTGCATTAAGTAGCTGTGATTTTTCACGAACCGTTGTGACTTCCGTAAAAAGTTGACGTCAGAACTATACAGTCACCGCCTTCAGTCACCACCCCGAGCACTGCCCACAGTCCCACTCTACTTTTGCCAAAACCCCAATTAGACAGGCCAAAATCAACCTGTTCTCAGCAGAGCTCATGAGAAAGGAGCTGTAAAAATATATTGAGATGGTTTTTGGTACTTATACCGCAAATATATATTCTTAAGGACATCAAAACCTAAAATAAAACTCCAGAAAGGTGTAAAATATGGGACCTTAAAGAGACGTATTTATCTTGACACACAGTCGTGAGGGTCTGCAGGTGTCTTCTCTGTGATGTAATTTCCTTTTTTTCTTGCATGTTGGTTGGAGCACATTACTGTTGATTTGACAGTCTTCAGGTTTTCAGATATTTTTTGTGGTGATAATCTTTTAAAAATAGTAATAAAGGATTATTGTCACATGTATGTTCCCATTTAGTTCCTGTTTGTCCTTATTTGGTTTAGTTCCTGTCCTCATTGTGTTAATTTGTATCCAGCTTTGTTTGATTAATTATCTTGTTTTCCCCTTGCATATAAACCCTGTGTTTCCCTGAGTGTGAGTCTGCTGTTATATGTCATCCTTGAGTTCCAGTGATTGTACCCCTTTGCTTGTTTGATTAAAATCCTAGTTGAAGTATTCTCCTGCGTCTCCTCGTTCCTCCCTGAGAGAGATCGTGACAAAGCAGCGGACCTAAAACCGAAAGTAAGCCCCCCTCCCCCCCCCCCCCGTGTTCGTTTTCCGGTTTTTGAAAGTTTTTTGTTTTCCCTGTTTGTTTCTCCCCGCGGCCATGGAGATGGCCGCCGCACGATTCATTGCCCTAGCACGTAAAGATCTCCCCTTCTACGAGTACGCTAGTAATTCTGCGGGCTCGCCACAGCGACGGCACTGGATGATGCCACTCTCAACTCACTGTTCTGGATCAGGAACCACTGTTCCGCTCCGTGGACCTCCCAGACACCACTGGACTAAGCTGGAGGGAAGGGATCATCCGGTATCTGGAGAGCATCCGGCCTCGATCCAGAACCAACCCGCAGTCATGCCCGCCGGCCGATGCACTCTCAAGAAAAGAGTTTTTCACTCCCAGAAAAACGGGCGCCAGCTCATGTCTCTGAACTCCTGGATATGGCACTCCCTCCGGAGTTCTCGGCTCCTATCCTCTCTCCTGAGTCCGCTCCAGTGTCTGCTCCAGCCCCAGAGCCTGCTCCAGTGTCGGCTCCAGCCCCAAAGCTCGCTCCAGTTTCGGCTCCAGCCCCAGAGCTCGCTCCCGTGTGGGCTCCTGTTCCTGAGTTTAGCCAACGGATGGCTCCTGTTCCCGAGTTTAGCCCATGGAGGGCTCCAGTCCCCGATTTTAGCCCAGAGAGGGCTCCAGACCCCGAGTTTAGCCCAGTTAGGGCTACAGTTCCCGAGTTTAGCCCAGAGTACGCTCCAGTCCCCGAGTTTAGCCCAGTGAGATCTCCTGTCCCCGAGTTTATCCTAGAGAAGGCTCCAGTCCCTGAGTTTAGCCCAGGGAGAGCTCCAGTTCCCATGTCCAGCCCAAGGTGGGCTCCAGTCCCCAAGTCAAGCCCAGGGAGGGCCACAGTTCCCGAGTTAGGCCTACGGAGGGCCCCAAAAACTATATTTACTATAAGGTTAAGGTTACTAAAACTATAAGGATTTTTTTGGGGGGGTAGTAGGGGCCCGTCTGTAGGTGCCAGGCCAAGTGCCGAGGCCAGGCTCCCCGAGCTCCCTGTTTCACCATTGCTCCCCGAGCTCCCTGTTCCGCCATGGCCCCCCGAGCTCCCTATTCCGCCATGGCCTCCCGAACTGCCTGCTCTGCCATGGCCTCCCGAACTGCCTGCTCCGCCATGGCCTCCTGAACTGTCAGCTCCGCCATTGCCCCCTAAGCTACCAGCTCCGCCATGGCAACCTGAACTGCCTGCTCCGCCATGGCTCCCGGAGCACCCTGATCTGCCCTGGAGGCCCTCTTTGTCTCCACCTTGTTCCTGCCCTGCACCAGCCTATAGGGTACCCACCCCTCCTCCCCGGTGTAACTGTTACGGCGCGGGATGCGCCTTCTGGGAGGGGGGAGTACTGTCACATGTATGTTCCTGTTTAGTTCCTGTTTGCCCTTATTTGGTTTAGTTCCTGTCCTCATTGTGTTAATTTGTATCCAGCTGTGTTTGATTAATTATCTCGTTTTCCCCTTGCATATAAACCCTGTGTTCCTCCCAGAGAGAGATTGTGACAATTATGACAAAGTTTAGTTTTTTTAAACAAGTTTTTAATAAATAATAGCAACATTATATCACATTGACATCTTTATGCGACAAAAATATCAAATGTTATTTCAGAAATTCAAAATGTGCTTATCATACAAGAGGTTTGATTCTTCATTGTATTAATGAATTGCATTTCTATTGTATTATTGAATAAATAAATAGATTGGCCAAAACATTACGTCATTGACTCCTATACTTGCTCATCTTTCCAACTGGACTTTTATATTACACTATATTGCCTTGCTTGCTTTGGTATTAATGCATCTCTTTTAACAGAAAAGAAAACATTGGTCTGCTCCAGGCTTACCTGCTTTGTTTCTCCATGTTCTTGCAGAGAGAGAAGAGTACGTGGCCACCTTCAAGGGTTCAGAGTATTTCTGTTACGACCTGTCCCCGAACCCCATTCAGAGCAGTAGCGATGAGATTACGCTGTCCTTCAAGACCCTGCAGCGCAATGGATTGATGCTCCACACCGGAAAATCTGCAGACTACGTCAACTTGGCGCTGAAGAATGGTGCCGTCTCGCTGGTCATCAACCTGGGCTCTGGGGCCTTCGAGGCCCTGGTGGAGCCCGTCAATGGAAAATTTAATGACAATGCCTGGCATGATGTGAAGGTTACCAGGAACCTTCGTCAGGTAACCGCGCAGAAAAGGCAGAGGTCGAGATTGGATACATTCAGATTCAGATTAGTAGCATCAAACTAACCCTCAGACCGTATTTAACTGTATTTAACCACTTAAATCAAAACCAGGGTCAGAAATTAACTTTTCCATTAAGAGGCAATATTTGCCCTCTGGAATTGATTCTCGGGCATTTTTACCTTTGTAAGGGAAATATTTATATTTACCTAATCAAATGTGTCTGTGTTGTACTTAAATTTAACCAGTTGCTTCAATCAGTCTCAAAACTATAGACTGCTACTAATAAAGTATGACTATTTAATGCACCACATATACATGTAAGTACACAAATATTGCATAATGTAAATGGCCTATAAATTAAATCTAATTACAGGGTGAAGCTGCAATATCGTTATTGTTGATTATTGCTCTTGATATTGTAATAATGATTGTTAATGTTGATTAATAGAAAGCTTTTTGTTGGGGATATAATCACTGAAGCTATCTACACTGCTAATTCAATATCTTACTTACATCTTTTAAGCACTTTGTTGTTTATGATGAGAGAATTTGCAAATGCAGATTCAGAATTCCGTCAATGAGAGCGCACACTGAACAACTCCGGCGTTCTCAGTGGTGACGAATCCAGACGTCTCTGATTAAACATGGAATTCATATACTCAACTGAAATGTGTGTCAGTGGTTGTAACACTCAACACTGCAAGCAATGCATAAAAAGAAATATAATGCAACTTGAGCAAATCTACTGTAAATGTAATGCAGAAATCACCTCTTTTTATTCAATTTACATTTCACTTTAAGCATGACAGACATAATAGATCTAGCTTAGTTGTGCAGGGGGCAATTTTTGCCCTTTATCTTGAATTTGAGGGGCATTTTTGTTCATTTTGGTGGCATTTTTGCCCCAAGCCCCTGTTAATTTCCGACCCTGATCAAGACATATACCCATTTAAAATAGTGCAGGTTTCCAAATGATGTATTTGAAAGTTGCTTAAAGACGAGACTTAAAGAGAAAGTTCTAGGAATTTGGTGCACTTTTATCATTTTAAATTAGCACTAGAGCTAATTTATGTAGCACAGAGCAGAGCTGATGTAAAAAGACGCTTCCAGTATTAAAGTATTCATGTAGCAGCCATGAATTCATATTTCAGACATCAGTGAACATACCTTTAACCCTGTTCCTCTTAACTAATATTTAAATTCAACCTCAGACGCTACGGCATCCATATTTTACTGTCACTATTTGATAGTGCCACCTCTCACTACATTACATGAGTACGTCACCTGTCAGCGCAGAACACGTTTGAAGTGTCAAGACTCGAAAAATATCCTAGATGTGCACAAAGTTGGATAGGACAGGCAGTAAACATAAAAAGCTCTGTGGTGTGTTCTGTCACCAGTAAAGTTAGCGGAGAGCCAGGAATAGGAAGAGACAGTGTTTAGAACAGAGTAGACTAGATCCGTCCCAGAGGAACTCCACGGTGCAGATCTCGTCTGCTTCTCCTTTCCTTCTCTTCTTTTGCCCTTTTTAAATGTTTACTAACCTGCTTTTGGGGAAAGAAACTAACCTTTCATCCATGGAATGTGTCATTTACTAACCTGTTACCTTTTACTAACGTGCAACGCTGATGTACTAACCTTGGCAAGAGACCAACTTTTTTGATTGAGGAACGGTGTTCTGTTCACAATTTTTTAATTTCCTTTCTCCCCCCTTTTCCACAAAGCACTCAGGCATTGGACACGCTATGGTAAACAAACTACATTGTTCGGTAGATATCATTCTAATTGTTTCTTAGTTTGGGTTTGCCGTGTGTCTATTTTCCTTTTTTTGAATCGTAGACATCAATTCTAAACAAAAAAAGGGGGAAAATGCGGTTGGTAATCTTTACGCTTACTTCCCCTACCCTGCCCAAATTCCCCTTTTCTTTTTCTTCTCATTACTTGGGTTTCCTCAGCTCTTTATGTCCCGTCCATCTTTTTTTTCTTAGTTTATCTTGCATCTTTTCCTTTTTTGGGTTCTTTTGCATAAGGTTTTGCTCACCGATCGGTCTCGGCTGGCTGGCTCTGAGTTTTTCCATTGGTCCAGCTAGCTTTGAGGCCCGTTGTTCAGCATGGTGTGCATCCTGGCCACCCCGTGTACTAACACCTCTGCTCCATCAGTACATTTGAGGCTGGCATGGGTGGCCGGTCATCTCGTCTGTTGTAGTTTTTACTTTCTTTCTTCATGTGAACACGCTTATGCATGCCGACACTTCTGCTGTGATTGGTCTCATGAGCTGCGTCGTGTTTGTGTCCTTCTCCCTCCTCTTCTCTCTTTACTCATTCCTGTGCAATCTAATCTGTGAGAAGAATTGTTCTCTCTAACCAACCATTGCTTGCATGTGGAGAGGGAGGGATAATGAAGCATGCATCCATTCAACCAGATCTGTGAGAGATGTGCCTCTAATTGCCTGTGCTTTCATTTCTAACCTCTTAGCACATCTTTGTTTTACCTCATATAATAACATTGAAAACTGCTAAACTACTCACATGCACTGGATTCAAGCAATACTAACTCTCAGAAACACACCTACTACTAACACCATTTTTGTGTCTGCTGATTTACTTTTTGTGCTCTATTAATGGCATCACTAACATCGAGACTGGGCTTATGTGCCGCAGACTTCCTCAGCTCAGACTTACTAGAAGTTAATACCAAAAATGAAAATCTAGAAAGACCAAAAAAAAAAAAAAAGTGAACAATAAATAAATAAGAATTCCTGGAACAGACATGAAAATGGGTTCACATTAAACCAATTAAAAGAGAAAAGCAATAAATAAATACATAAATGAGAAGGATTAATGGCAAAAACAAAATAAAGCCAAGCATCCAAATCCTTACGAGGGGGGACCAAAGCCCTGTAACAGTATTCAAGTTATATGTGAGTATAGCGTGTCCTTTCCCTGTGCTTTGTTGTGTAGGTTACAATATCTGTGGATGGAATTCTGACCACCACTGGATATACACAAGAGGACTACACCATGCTAGGCTCGGATGACTTTTTCTATGTCGGGGGTAGTCCCAGCACTGCCGATCTGCCCGGATCCCCCGTTAGCAACAACTTTATGGGCTGTCTGAAAGAGGTAAGTGCTCTGAAAATGTCTTCTTGGAAAAAGTAATTCCATCCAGGAATCTTCCAGTAATTTAATCACCTTCTATTGCTACTGTATTACATGTATTCATTTACTTTTTGAATGGTAGAAAGATACGACCTTGCAGCTAATTAACTATATTGATTTGCAATAATCTGATTTAACTCGTTTCTTTTTATTGACAAAATCCTCTAAAAACTAACGAAAAAGAGAGATGCGACCGTGCAGCTTGTGTGTCTGTCTGTATGTGTGTCTGAATTAAAAAAAGTAAACGTGTGTGTGTGTGTATATATATATACTGTATATATATGTATATATATTAGGGGTGTAACGGTTCACAAAATTCATGGTTCGTTTCGATATGACACAGGGGTGTCACAGTTCGGTATGTTTTCGATACAGCAAAAACAAAGAAATGCCAGACAAATTTCCTTGATTTTTACTTTTTAAAAAAAAATTTTTAGTTTATTAAAACTAGTATCATATGATCTTAAAAATATTTTAGACTTTAGAAGACCTTTTGACTTTGCCGCTTATCTAAGATGATTTTGAAAGGTTTTTTAACATTTGTTTCTTATTTATTTGGTTCCACCGTGTTTGCTGATTTTAAGTGTTTTATATTTAAACTTTGTGTAAGTTATCTGTTATTTTATATTAGGCCTATAGCATGGTGTATTTGTATTAATTTTGTGTATAAATTAAACATTCTATGTTTAATGTAAGTGAGTTCCCTTTCAGTCAGTCACTTTCTACATTATGTCAGTCGTGACTGATGAATTGAGATCTCGCCCGAGAGCCCTATCACCTTCGAGTGTAAACTAAACAAGCCAATGATAGTTGGCATGCGTGTTTCGCCATGCGCACCCCGCCCCGCAGCGCGGGTATAAAAGGAGTGCGCGTGCAAACGCACATCAGCTTTTCGCTTCGGAGCCGAGCCTTCTCAGGACGAATCTCCACGAGTGTTTGGAAGAAACAGCTGGCGTTGGTGTTACGGCGCATCAGCGGGGGTTGCCATTCAGTGCTGCTCATCTTCGGCGTGCTGCAGCTGCCATTCTGCGGTCTCGCCGCGACCTCCCCTGGGCACTTCAGCGCTCTCTCTAAAAGAGTGTTTCCTTTTTTTCCTAAAAGAGCAAATATCTAAAAGAGCTCCACGAGCGACGGGCGTCTTTTTAAAGATGGCTTCCCCCGCTCGTGCGTTTCTGGATGCGGTCGTTTCCTGCCTCCATCTGATGGTCATGATCGCTGCCTCTCGTGCCTGGGCTTACAGCACGCTGAAGCAGTGCTCATGGATGAGTCATGTTCTCAGTGCGGGAACATGACCATCGCGACGTTGCGGTCTAGTCCCCGGCATCCGTCCCCGAGATTGGTTTGCAGCGGTCGACCTGAAGGACGCGTACTTCATGTGTCGACCCTTCCGCACCACAAACCATTGCTGTGGTTCGCGTCCGAAGGACGAGCATATCAGTACGAGGTCCTGCCCTCCGGGCTGTTCCTGTTGCCCCGTGTCTTCACGTAAGTTGCGGAGGTACCCCTTGTTCCCTTGAGAGAACAGAGCATTCGCATTCTCAACTACCTCGACGAAGCAGTCTCAGGATCAGTTGTGCGAACACAGGGATTTGGTGCTCTCACACCTCAGCCTGTTGGGTCTTCGGGTCAACTGGGAAAAGAGCAAACTCTCCCCGACGCAAAGGATCTCTTTTCCCGGTATGGAGGGGACTCAGTAAGAGCAGGATGGCGAGCAGGAGCTGTCCCGAGCTGCGCTCCCGGGAGAATGGCGAGAAGTGGAACCTGTTCGTTGAGTGGTGTTCTTCTCGCCGAGAAGACCCCAGAAGATGCCCGATCGGAGTTGGGTTGCCCCGTAGAAGGAGGTCGTTGGGGAAGCATGACCTAGTTGTCAGGTTCCTTAAGGGGGCGAGAAGGTTAAATCCTCCACGGCCCCCCTCTA